TGTCAGAAATTCATATGTGTTATAAAATTTCTTCTGTTATAAAATATCTTTCTTTTTTAGCAGGAGATCTACAAAGATGAGAAGTATGTCAAAGCTAAACCATTTATATCTATGCAATCGGAGTCTTTCAAAATTTATGAAGAAGACTTTTATAAGAAGGAAGAACCAACCTTCAAAATTTATGAGGATAAATTAGAAGAAGAGACATCTGTCGCCCTTAGAAACTCAAAGGAGAACAAGGAAATAAAAGAAACAATAGCAAAGTCTGAGAAAGAACAGCCAAGATTAGAAATACACACTATAGATAGCACTTCTACTTATGCGTTTTGTAATAAGATCAAAGAAGTTGATCAAAAAAAGAAGGATGATATTTTATCGAAAGATAGTCCCATGTCCCTGGGAATGTCATTGGAGAAATCTCTCACATATAGCAGTTCTTCCAACGAGGAGTATAGACTCAGAAGAGAATGTAATAAAGAATTGAGAATTAATATCTTTGATGTAGATGAATATAGAGCTGACATATACAATTATTTACGAACATCAGAGGTATATGCTTGTTTTTATTCTATATTAATTTGTATAAATTAATATTAAACGAGATGTTTGGAAAACATTTCGTTTAATATTAATCCTGGAAAATTCTGGAAAACATGAAATTTTTAGGGGATTTCTTTTCTATTCCTGAAAATCAGAAATTTTCATCAATTCAATTTTTATGAAATTTTATCAAGACTCGGAAATTTTTGAAATTTTACATTTTATATTTAAATTCTATCTTTTTCTAAAAACTTTCTCCGAATAATCTTTTTTTTTTTTGACAATGCAAAATGACAATCAACAATAGTTAGCAATAAATATAACAATAAATATGGCATTCATGTATATTCACTCTTACATATCTCACAGATTTTTTTCTAAAAAAAAAATCAGGTTGACATAATAGAAGACATTACTCAAAATAGAGTAATTCATTGATATCACATTATAATGCTCATTCATTATATAATATTAAGCTATAGGTTTTACAGCTCTAATTGTAGAAAATGATAAGATGTAGTCTATTATTGTAAAATTATATCTATTGTGGAATCTCTGTTCTTTTATTAATTTTCAATATTTTAATTTATATTGCACACAAATTTCACTTCTTTATTTTAAAGTTGCATTAAAAATTCTCTAATCTTGGAATTTTTAACAAAAACACCTAAAAATAATCCAGAAATTTTCGAGGAAATTTTTACAAAATCTCGATAAATACTTTATTAAAGTAAATTTATTTAACAAGACAATTTAATTTTTAACATACACACACACACAACACACACACGATTGGGTCATTCATATCCTGTATTTTTTTCCTCGACTAAACTAAAATTATCAAATTATATAACATTTATATATAATTTTTTTAAATAGACAATCATACAAATTATTTTCTAAAGAAATGTTAAAAATATATGTAAAAATAATTTTTATATGTTTGTTAAAGTGTTGAAAATTAATTTGAATATAAATAACCCATCATGTGCAATAAAGGAAAATCGCGTGTATTGAGGGTTAATAAAAATTTAATATTAAGTTAATAATGTTTAATCTAAATACATTTTTCATATATATTTTTTATTATGAAAAGAATAACTCTCATTCTATATCTAGAGAAAAAAATCTCTGGAAAATTTTTATTTATTTCAATACTAAAATTTCTATTATCTTTTTTCAGTCACTACATAGACCAAAACCTGGTTATATGAAGAAACAACCTGATATTACGTATTCAATGAGATCTATATTAATAGATTGGCTTGTAGAGGTAGCTGAAGAATATCGATTACAGGACGAGACACTTTACTTGGCCATTTCATATATTGATCGCTTTTTATCGTACATGAGTGTTGTAAGATCAAAATTACAACTTGTTGGGACTGCCGCTATGTTTATTGCAGCGTGAGTTTATTTTGAATAATCATACTTTGATAAAATCTGCATACGACAATTCTTATTGAATATAAATTGTTTGACACTTTAATTTTTTAATGAAATTCTATTTTATAAAAATAATGTATTTATCTAATAGGAAATACGAGGAGATTTATCCTCCCGATGTAGGAGAATTTGTATATATCACAGATGATACATATTCAAAAACACAAGTGATAAAAATGGAAAATTTGATATTGAGAGTTTTATCATTCGATTTAACTGTACCGACGCATGTTACATTTCTTATGGAATACTGTATCAGCAATAACTTATCGGATAAAATTAAATTTTTGGCAATGGTAAGTTTTAATGAGTGAATATAAATAATTTGATATTTAATGTTGCTGTATTTTCTGAAATTTCTTAGGAATGTATAATTTTTACAAAAAATAACTGAAATTGGAAATTTCCATTTTTCGTACAAAAAAATTTTTATATACATGTGTAAATATGTTTCAATTCAATATTCATATTTAATAATAATATTGCTGTATAATTTAAATGAAAATTTTATAATTTTTTATCTTAATTATCTTTTTTTAAAATGTTAACTTGTAATATTTTATTCAGAGATTCTACATCAAACTTTTTGTATTATTTTCAAATACTATATAGAAAAATTGTAGTTTTTTTCATAATTTTTTCATTTTTTATTAAAAAATATATGTAATATTCTTAATTTTTTTCTTTTCTTAATTTTTAAGAAGTTTCATACATATTTTGTTATTTTAGTACTTATGTGAGTTGTCAATGCTGGAGGGAGATCCATACTTACAATATTTGCCCAGTCACTTGGCTGCGTCCGCGATAGCACTAGCGCGGCATACGTTTCATGAAGAGATTTGGCCACACGAATTGGAACTGTCAACTGGATACAATTTAAAAACTCTTAAGGAATGTATTGCGTACTTGAACAGAACCTTCTCCAATGCTCCTAACTTTCAGCAAACAGCAATACAGGAGAAGTATAGAAGCAGCAAGTAAGTACAAATATTAAAAATTATATACACATATATATATATATATAATAGATTATATAACACACATAATATAATCCATTGATATATCCATTGATATATAATTAAATATATAGATAGTAACATGTATCTTTTTTTATGTGTGTGAGCTCTCGTAGATGTATTTTATATATATTATAATTTTATTATGATAGATTACAGGATGTTTGAAAATTTTAATGAAATAATTTTTCCTTAGATACGGTCATGTATCTATGCTGTTGCCTCGTAGTACCGAGGCGGTATCATGCGAGGATGAAGATGAAGAAGGAAACGCTTAGTAAAAAATATTGTCAGACACAGGATTAAAATAATTTTTTTCTGTGTCTTTACGTTGATAATTGAATAACGAACCTCCCGAAACAACTCCACATACACTGAAAATGGAGGAGGGGATCAGGGCAAGACTTGATCTGCCATTCTGACAAAATAGGAGAAAAATCATACGATTTATTTCTTTCTGTTGGCTGTTGCAGTCAGGTCGGTACATTTGCGAGAGCAAATTGATACCTGACTCTCCTACCTTCATCGCACATTATTTTATATCATCGTCTTCTTATTAAGTCATGGCCTAACGAAAATTTTCATAATTTAGAGTTTCTTCATATCGATGTGAAACTCTAGCCAAAAAGAAAAAGAGGGAGAAAGAGAGATAATACATTATCTAGAAATTGTATTTTTATAAGTACTTTTTAGAGGATTAAAACAAACGCGATACATGCAAACGGCTAAAAATTCGATTGCAAGTAAACCGTTCCAATAATAAGAATCGTAAGCAAAGCGATTTTATATTTATTATTATCGTTTTACCATTAGGCATGTACCATTTAACGGTAAAAACGACATATTCTGTTTGAGATATTCCAGCGAAATTAATTTGCAATTAATTATTTCGATCAATTTTTCAGTCCTTGTACAGTTATTTATTTACAACATTCTAGGTACCATAATATCAAATGCGTAGTTTGTTTTATTAGAAGTTAAGGTGTATCTTTTATATATATATATATCTCTGTATTACATTATATACAAGAATATTAGATTATACGCTGTGCAAGATTACATTGTCAATTCTTTCCTGGCGCAAATCGTTTTTTGAATTTTTCTTTCAAGAACACGCGTGCCATTTTTTTACAACCAGTCGTTCATAGTGTATGAATGTAAATGAATCGCACATATTCGCAGTAATTAATATACATTCATTTCGATGACGCACATTTTCGACCGTATTGACGTGCAATATTGCACAGCATAAATTACCGCATTTTAATATAGCACAAAATACCTAAGTGTTCATCAAATCTAATATGCATGAGAATATGTTCATATGAAAAATTTAAATACAGATATAAAAAAATGTTATGGAATCATATATCGTTACATGATTATACGTTCAGTTCTATATTAATTGTAAATTTTATGATCTGCTCCACAAAGTTTAATATAACTGACGTGGCATGAGGACTAGAATTTTTCCAAAGATTACTGTTGATGAACTAAAAAATATAACTAGCTTCCAAGATAGGCCAAGACATAAAATAAAAATTGTTGCCGCTTCTTACATATATTGAAAATTACAAATAACGTAAAAAATGTTATTTAACTCCGAAAGAAATGTTTATTAAAATTAAAATTAAATCTCGAAAAGCAATCCCTTTCAGAAAAATCTTTCAAACCAAAATTCTATCTATTAAGATTTTTCTCTAGTGTACTCGAGAATTCAAAACGTGATATATGCGAATGTTTTTTATATTATATTTTCATATACATCTGACGTAGTGCGTTCTAAACCACGTTTAAATATTATATTCGGAACCGTTTCGACGTAATACAAAATCATTGTATCAAACGTTTCCGTAGCGAATTTATAAATGAAAGCATGACATTAATATAACAATTGTAAATAATGCCCAAAGATCATTCTTTTTACGAAGGACGAAGGTCTTGGAAGGACACTTTTTGAAGGAATAAAGACGAAGAATGAAATACAGAACACAGTAATATTTTTTTCTTCACTTTTGTATTAAAAATGCTTCAACAGTACCCAAAAATTTATTCATAGAGCAACGTGCGTTTCTCGGAAAAGAATTCAAACAACCTCTCTGTCAGCGCATTATAAAAACGTAACAAGTAGTATAAAATGAAGCAATTAAAAATTGATAATTAGTGTCGAGAGCGAGAGCAATTATTATATACTTATGATTAAAACCTTATAGCAGAAGTATAATGAGGCGCACATTCTACTCATCATCAACGGCGATATAGGGAAGATTGGTACGTATAATTTCTTTTGTTAAATGTTTTTTTTTGTATCACTGGTATGTTGAAGAGTTCTATGCTTGATCTGGAATAGGAGATATGATATGATTAGATGATTGATACGAAGAACAGGGATTACATTTGGAGCCACAAGGTGCAGGATTATCTAGGCAGTTATCGGTCAGAGGTGTCGTTAGTGTGTTGTTGCATACTGTAACGCACGAACGATTTTTTTTTTTCGTTTTTCATTACGGCACAATTAATGTAATTCTACTGTTGTTTACACTCATTGGGATCATCGCCTTGTTTCCCACCTGAAGGCGCATTAACAGGAGAAGATGCCTCCTCTTCCTCGTCCTCCTCGTCTTCATCATCATCTCCTTCATCCTCATCCTCATAATCCTCATCTTCATCATCTAAACCTTCGCCTGAAATTAAATTTGTCTCATAATGAAAATATTCGCGAAAATAAACACAAGAATATATTAACTACAGATATACTTTGAAATTTAAATGTTAATCAACCTTATATGTCGCATGTTAAGTTTTTTTAATAAAAAAATTGTTGCACCATATCTATTATGTTCACAATAAGAAATTGTATCAATATAATCATGGACATTACCTGTATAGTAAAGTACAGCTCTAGGAACTATGCGTTCTCTAATATAATGGCCTAATTCAAAATCGCTGGTTAGTAAAGCTTGAGTATCATCATCCATATCAGCTTCCGAGTCTTCTGGCACTGAAAATATTTAAAGCAAAATTAAATTGCAAGTCAAGTATGTTTTTTTAGTTTTACACAGAAAACTAAAAAATAGGTATAATATTAATTACCAATTGGTGGACTAAAGAAATTAAAGAAGGAATCGTTTTGAACAGTTTTCGTCACAGTACGCATGGATCCTCGAGATTTATGCTTCTGATTTTTCTTAATAGTTTTAATTGTAACATTCTTGCCTTTTTTCCAATCAATTACGCAACCCTATGAGAAAATTCTCGCGTTTAGTATCATAATTATTTGAAAATCGATTAGATAGTAAAAGTTTACTTTGCATTTATATATCTCCGGTCCTTCGAAACTGAATGGATCATTCTTATCTGGAGTACATTTCATGATATATTCTTTAGTGAGTATTGTGTTTGAAAAATATTCGTTGGGCGTAAAATAGAATTCGAGAATAAATCCCTAAAAAAAATATTAATTTAATTAAACTCCTTAAATCAAACTCCTTTTTTAATTGTTAATTATATCATTTTGTTCCACAACTTACCATTGGATTCGATGGCAGAAATTTTACTTTGATATCATGTAGATGCTTCAAGATCGGTTCATCATGTTCCTGAACCATTTCAGATAGCGTACTTACATTCTTAAATATTGTTAGCCAGAAATCGGGGATGCCTTTAGTATCATCCTCATTCTCCGTTCTAAAATACATTATACAAATTAGTATGCAGTAATTAATTACATATCTAACAAATCATATCTAATCTTAGATACATGTAAGCAGATATACATTATTTAAAAAAACAATAACATACGATTCCTTTGTTTCAACAGAATCCTCGATCTTTGCCTTCTCTTTCATATAATTATTTAGCGTTTCTTCATCATCATCGCTATCCCAAACGCATTGCTCATCGGTTGGTTCATAAGCACCCGATACTATCTCACATCGCTTCTCATATAAGGGCGCACACATTTTATAGTATTCACATTCCAAGGCATGGACCTCCTCGTAAAATTTAGCCTCAATGTTAGTGGTGACGAGTTGCAATTGTTTCAATGCCTTGATCCTGCGTTTAACAGGAGCAGGAAGAGACTGCATTTGCTAAAAATACAATTGAACTTGTAAAACTTTATTACAATCAAATCTATTTTGATATTTTATATTTTATTAAGCTTTACTAAATGTTTCCATTTCTTTTTAATTTAATAAACAATAGCAAATTTATTGATAAGATACAGAGCGCAAATCAATAGTGATGAAAAAACATTAATATAAAATTTTATTTAAATTGGAAGAAGTTACGGATGACATTCACTATTCAACTATTCATTCAGTTAAAAATTGTCAGTCAAATGGGATGTAAAAGCAAATAAGCATCACGGGAAAAGCATGCGGATCAGAAAAAGATTTT